CTCCCCCCCGGTGTCCCCCTCCCCTTTCCCGGGTTTTTTTTGGGAATTTTTGGGAATTAAAAGCCTTTGGATGCTCCGTTTTGGGGAGGGGTCTCGGCTGTTTTCTGTCATTTGGGGAGGGGGAGACGGAGGGGTGGAAACCGATTTTATTGGCACGGGGGGGGGGTCCCCGAAATTCCACTCTGTCCATCCCAAAAAATTCCTGTTCCAGCCCAAAAAATCCCAACACAAAAATCCCATCCCAAAAAATCCCAGCTCCATCCCAAAAACCCCATCCCAAAAAATCCCTGCTCCATCCCAAAAAATTCCTGTCCCATCCCAAAAAATCCTGTTCTGTCCATCCCAAAAATCCCATCCCAAAAATCCCATCCCAAAAATCCCAGCCCAAAAATTCCTGCTCCATCCCAAAATTCGGCTCCTTCCCGAAAATCCAGCCAGGAACGAGGGGGGAGGGGAAATGTGGGATGAGCCGGAGGGGGCTGGAAGGTTCCGGAAGGTTCTGGAAACTTCTGGGAGGTTCTGGAAGGTTCTGGAAGGTTCCGGGAGGTTCTGGAAGGTTCTGGGAGGTTCCGGAAGGTTCCAGGAGGTTCTGGGAGGTTCCACGGATGATTCCCAAGGAATCCCAAACTCCCCAGCGATGACGGAGCTGCTGTGGGGAGGTTCCAGAAGGTTCCGGAAGGTTCTGGGAGGTTCCAGGGCCGATTCCAGCAGGGAATTCCCAATGATGATGGAGCCTGGGATGGTCTGGGATGTTCTGGGATGCTCTGGAAGGTTCTGGAAGGTTCTGGGATGCTCTGGGATGCTCTGGGATGCTCTGGAAGGTTCTGGGATGTTCCAGGAGGTTCTGGAAGGTTCTGGAAGGTTCTGGGATGTTTCCAATCGGGAATTCCCCGTTATTTCCCCGCGATCAGGGGGTTACGCAGCACCACGATGACGGAGCCTGGGATGCTCTGGGATGCTCTGGGATGTTCCAGAATGTTCTGGGATGTTCCGGAAGGTTCTGGGATGTTCCAGGATGTTTCCAGCTGGGAATTCCCCGTTATTTCCCCGCGATCAGGGGGTTACGGAGCACCACGATGACGGAGTCTCCGCGCAGGAACATCTTGGAGATGTACCGGTCCTTGTTGACGGGTTTGGATTTCTTCTTCCCTTTGCCGCTCTTGGGCACCTCGGTCCACATCTCCTTGACGTTCTCCAGCACCATGTTACAGTGCCTGCCGGGAAAAACGGGATCCCAACGGGAAAAACGGGATCGGGAGGGGGAAAATCCGGGATTTGGGGGGGAAAAATGGGATTTGGGGGGGAAAAATGGGATTGGGAGGGGAAAAATCTGGGATTTGGGGGGGAAAACCTGGATTTGGGGGAAAAATCCGGGATTTGGGGGGGAAAAATCTGGGATTTGGGGAGGAAAAATGGGATTGGTTGGGGAAAATGGGATCTGGGGGGAAAAAAAGGAATTTTGGGGGGAAAAATGGGGATTTTGGAGGGGATAAAGCAGGATTTGGGGGGAAAAAATTGGATTTGGGGACTCTGGGGACACCTTGAAGACACCTTGAGGTCACAGAGCTGACCTTGGGGTCACCCTGGGGACACTGTGGTGATCCTGAGGTCACTTTGGGGACCCTGGTGACACCTTGGGGACACTCTGGTGACACCCTGGGGACATGTCCTCACCTGTCAAACGCTTTGACGCGCCCCAGGAGCTTTTTGTTGTTGCGGCAGTTGATGAGCACCTGCGTGTTGTTCTTCACGCTCTGCGTCAGCACCGACAGCGGGCCCGTGTTGAACTCCTCCTCCTCGCGCTTCTGCAGCTCCTCGGGCGTCATCTCGCTCTTGGGCTTGTTCAGGAGACTCCTGGGGACATTGGGGACACCACGGGGACATCAGGGGAGCCTCGGGGACACCGGGGACATCACGGGGTCAGGGGATGTGGGGACACAGGGATCCATCTCTGGGGTCACCTCGCTCTTGGGCTTGTTCAGGAGACTCCTGGGGACATTGGGGACACCACGGGGACATCACAGGAACGTTGGGGACACCAGGGACGTTGGGGACACCACGGGGACATCAGGGGAATGGGGGATGTGGGGACACCGGGACAGGTTTGGGGACACCGGGATCAATCTGGGGACACCAGGATCGGTCTGGGGACACCGGGAGCGGTTTGGGGACACTGGGAGCGGTTTGGGGACAGCGACGGGACCCGAACGGCGACAAAGAGCAGGCCCCGGCCCGTTCCGTCCCCTCCCGGTGTCCCCCCGCTCCCCAGCTCCGCCTTTCCCCGCTTCCCCCCGCTCGCCCCCTCCCCGTTCCT